AAAAACAAGATAAAAAATAAAAGAAATTGGAATTAAAATGTTTTGTTTTGAAACAACTGCCATGTATTATCAAATATCAAATATTTCATACTCCCTAGGTCTCTATTTCCTAAATTTGTGRAGGCTTTCTGTTGTTTTTATTAGTCAAGATAATTGACTGTAGAGATTTAGAGATTGGGTATCGTATCCAATACTCARTACTTCCCAATAGCTTCCATGCTTGGAAGATCCATTTTAATAAACTTTTTTTATTACTTGTAAACAGTTATTAAATAATTCCTCGAAGTTTCTAATATATTATAAACTCAGTTAATGAAAAGATGCATTTTTTTTTGTCTTATAAAAATCTTTATCTCCTCAGATAGAATTTAAAATATTTTTATAACCCAGCTTGAAGTGAAATTGAATCGTACAAAATGACTCATTGTCAAGGACATGTGAACAAATGAGGTATTCATTTTATTCAGAATCCATTGAAGGATTTCTTGATGTTTTTATTTAATTTGCTTCATATCAAGAAGCTAAGTTCCCCTTTGAGACACATCACTGAAGATATAAAAGATTAATAAAAGGCAAGAAAATTCTTGTAGAGTTTGGCAGAAAGCCTTGATTTTACTCTGTTTCTTCCTCATAGACAAAAACAGTTCCATGTTCTCTCTAGGAGTGTTCTGTCACTGAGAATAAGTACTGTTTCATATTCCCAAAAAACCTCCATACTTGGGAAAAATGATAAATATATCAAGTAGAAGACTTTTAAAGTAATGTGTATATGTGCCCAAAAATTAGAAACTGTATATATATATTTCTTTATATAGTTCTATTTGTAAAAGTTGTTTAAAAGGGAAAGTTTTTCTCATTGTTTCTGAAAACCATGTTGACTGCGTGCAATAAATGCAGGCTGGTATGTTGACCACTAGGATGCRGGAACCAGTATGATTAGGGGACTTAAGTGAATATTTGAAAAATGATTTGAAGTGATTCAATTCATTTTATATAGCAAATGCTTAACAAGAACTAAGCCACCCAAAATCACTAGCCACATAGTAGTAAATCAATTTTTAGGTACATAGTTCTAAGGTACACTGTTCTAAGGCCATCATAAAGTTTTTAATATGCTTATGATAGTTTACTGTCATCTTTCTCTTTCACAAATTATTATTTTCTCTAGCTCTAATAAGCACTTTTTCCTCATCAGCTATATTGTCCCATAATGTATGCATATTTTTGAAAATCTGTCATCAGCCTTTAATATTTGTCAATAAGCAAAGCAATATAACATAAAACAAGTTGTATCAAAACGGAAAAGTGTAATACTATTAATTGACTGTTTTATTGCAATTCTCGATAGGTTTTAAAAGGCACATACTATTGCATTCTATGTAGAAGGTGAAAAGAAGGTAAATTTCCTGGAGACTAAAGCACGGAATTTTCCTTACTATTTCTCTTCTAGATAGGTCTATGAAGATTGCAAGGTTAGGTGGAAAGGCCTGGGTTTTCACTGAGAAACCTGCTCAGACAAGCAAGGAAAGCAAACAATTTACTAGAGAATAGCAAAGAACTCCATTATAATGAGAGGGCTTTTCAAAAATCTCAACAGATCAAAATTAAGGCATGCATGCCTAGTAGAAATGCATGCATATGTAAAAAGGAAGTGGGAAACTGTTCAGGAGCCAGTCCATCTATGTGCACTGCTCATAAGGATGGAGCATCACAGTTGTCTGACAGCCAGCCATGAAGCTCAGACTTGCCTGAGGCTGGCATACTACCTACTTGACATTTAGGAAAATCTGCAGATTTCAGCTCTTAGCTCAGTCTTGTARATTGTTGCTTTTATCCTTATTTGCTCTCTCTCCATTTCTGATGTYGTAATAAGTCTGTCTATATACTATTAGCCCATTATGTGTAATCTGTTGAATTTCTGCATATACATGGAACCCAAGCAAGAGAATGAAAAAATATATTGTAAATTAAGACAAGTGTAAGATATTTGTAACAAATGTCATATAATAAAATTCTATATTCACTTGACAAAGCTCTAGCTGTTTAAAAAGACAATCACTATTTTTTTTTCATTCTCAAAGGCCTAATATTGAAAAAWATCTTCTATTTTTTTAAAACAAAACTAAACAGCTAAATTTCAATAATTAGCATAAGTACTAAACAGTGATTAATAAAATAGGAAATTTACAAGTAAAACATGCAGCTTTTTGTTGCAGAGGACTCATGCTGTGCAGACATGAAAAGTTTCAACCCAGTTGTCAGAAATAAAGATTAACTTAATTCTCTTTTAATCTGTGAACACATTTTTTATTTAATCTGTTAAACCAAGTTATCTCTATTATAGTCAAATCTTTGTAAAGCTCCTACAGCACAGCGGTAGTCCCAGTGTTAGGAAAAAAAGATATGAGTAAGACAAAAGCCTTAGACACTCTCTCTTTCCGTGACTTATATAAGTATGAATACACATATGTTGATTGATTAAATGTATTTCGGAAGAAGTGGAAAACATCATTAAGCATGGAATATCTTGGAAAAAAAAGGAAAATATAGGAAATTATATTAAAATAAATACAAATCTTCTGTCTTCAAAAGAGCAAATAYACATTTGACTCTATAGGCAACTCTTCTAACAATATCAGATACATGCCATTTATACTGCTTCATGGAGTATATTATTGCAAGAGGGTTGGAAATGATTTTTAGAYCCAGATGGGATGCACCCAAGAGTGCTGAGGGAACCGATGAGGGTTGTTGCTTAGCTGCTCTCTATCATCTTSAAGAGATCATTGAAAGCAGAGAAGTGCTGGAGGACTGGAAAAGAGCCAACATCACTGCAGTGTTCAAAAAGCGCAAGAGGGAGGAGCCGGGCAACTACCGGCCGGTCAGCCTCACCTCAGTCCCTGGCAGGGTGATAGAACAGATCATCCTAGAGAGCATCTCTAGATATGTAACGRCAAAGAAGGTGATTAGGAATAGCCAGCATGGATTCATCAATGGGAGGCCATGTTTGACAAACCTGCTAGCCTTCTACAATGGGATAATGGGAGGGATGGATGAGGGGAAAGCCATGGATGTTATCCATCTTGACTTCATCAAGGCTTTCAACACCATCTCTCATAACATCCTCATAGGAAAGCTCCACAARTGTGGACCAGACAAGTGCACAGTGAGGTAGATTGAGAACTGGTTGGATGGCAGAGCTCAGGGTGTGGTGAGAAATGAGGTTGAGTCCAGTTGGAGGTCTGTGATCAGTGGTGTCCCCCAGGGGTCCGTACTGGGCCCAGTGCTATTCAACTTGTTCATCAATGAGGGCRCAGAGTGCACCCTGAGCAAGTTTGCAGAYGACACCAAGCTGGGTGGAGTGGCCGACACTCCAGAGGGCTGTGCTGCCACTCAGAGGGACCTGRAGAGGCTGGAGAGTTGGACGGAGAGGAACCTCATGAGGCTCAACAAGGATAAATGGAGGGTCCTGCACCTGGGGAGGAATAACCCCAAGCACTAGTACAGATTAGGGGTTGACCTGCTGCAAAGCTCCACATAGAAGGATTTAGGAGCCCTGGTAGACAACAAGTTGACCATGAGGTAGGAGTGTGCCCTCGTGGCCAAGAAGGCCAATGGGATCCTGGCCTGCATCAGGAGGATGTTGCCAGTAGGTSGAGAGAGGGGATCCTGCCCCTCTCTTCAGCTCTGGTGAGGCCCCACCTGGAGTACTGTGTGCAGTTCTGGGCACATCAGCACAAGAGGGATGTGGCGCTTCTAGAGAGGGTCCTGCGTAGAGCGACAAAGATGATTAAGGCACTGGAGCATCTCTTGTATGAGGAAAGGTGTGAGCTGGGCCTTTAGGCTGGAGAAGACTGAGAAGAGACCTGATCAATATGTATAAATCCTTGAGGGGAGAATGTAGGGAGGAGGGGGCCAAAGTCTTCTCAGTGGTGGCCAGTGGTAGGACAAGARGCAATGGGTATAATTTGAAACATAGGAAGTTCCATCTCCCTGTGAGGAAGAACTTCTTTCCTGTGAGGATGACAGAGCCCTGGAACAGGCTGTCCAGGCAGGTTGTGGAGTCTCCTTCTCTGGAGATCTTCCAAATCCACCTSGATGCCACCCTGTACCCTGTGCTCTATGTATCCCTGCTTGAGCAGGGAATTTGGCCTAGATGATCTCTAGAATCTCTAGAAGTCCCTTCCAACCTCAATCATGTTGAGATTCTGTGTGAACCTGTAACTCTGGCTCCTAAGTCCCTTTTCAAACATAAGGTATTTGTCAAAAYAAAACAAAACAAAACAAAAACTTGCAGATATGAAATTCAAAAGCACATAGCAGACTACCTATCATTATAATCAAATCACTGTGGTTTTTGTAGGCAGCATTCAGTCAGGACATTGAATTAGAGCACAAGAGTGTGAAAGTTTTTATTATAGTAATAGATAGAGTTACAAGCATTAGGGAATCTATTCAGTTGTCTAACCATATGTGTTCTGTGTCATTGGAGATGCCGGAGGGCACACCTCCAGGCCCCAAGCTGCTGTCCTGCAAGGGCACAAGTCTCCTTTATGTCCTATGTCATATTTGCCAGCTCCCTGCAGACGTCTCAGATGCCTGAGGGTTTCTCATGTGCCACTAGCTACCTATTCTTAGGCAACTGAACTAACCCCTATAGAGCTAGACGTTACTGAGAAGGCAGATTTGCTTCTCTCTGTATCAGTGCTGAAACACCAGAATAGCAAAAAGGAATAACTGCTCTAAACAAAGTGTTTAAGGAGCTGTCAGATCACATCTCAAACTTTGAAGGTCTAATATTCTGCTACGTGTTAAAGACTTTTAAGGAAATTTGCCTCTGTGGACACTTTGCTAATTGTTACAGTAAATGCACGCATATTTTTAAAAATCATAAAATCATGGTTCTTAAATTAGCTAGATTTTTAAAATAACTCTTAACCAGTACTTTTGACTTTGCATTTTTTGTTCTATTTAGTACCCCAAAATGATGCATTCCTTACCGTCGTTTCTCAGTGTCAAAGGTGTAGGAGGACTCAGAACTCTGGCATTCGTCACTGTGTTTTTTACCAAGCATATATAGCTGCCAACATCAGATGTTTGCACCTTGGAGATGTAGAGATTGCCTGTCTCCTGAGAGATGAAACGTCTGCTGTCTTCTGCCACAAAAGATGGGAATTCATTAAATACCCAACTATAGACGATTTCTGAAAGAAAACAAAAAAAAAAATAAAAGAAAGCAATTACTGAAAGAACGCTATGTCTTCTTAATGGATACACTTACTCTTTTCAGTGAATTGATTTGAATAATAAAAAGAAATCAAAAACTTTTTATTTGTTTGCAACAGAACTCAGGAAGAGGACTCTTTCCTTCCTTGGGATTTTGGAGATAGCATAGGAGATGGAAATTACTTAAAATACTCATCAGACCCCCAAATCATTCCCAAAATGTTATATATTTCCKTCTTCTTGTTCCTTGAGTTGTCAGAAATAATATACAAATCACTTATGTCTGTATTTTTTCATTTTTTTCGTGAATGTGGTGCTTCTTATAGAGCTGGAAATGACCTTTTTGTGTGTGTGGATAAACAGTTTTATTCTGAACATCTGTTTAAAAAAAAAAAAAATCAATAGTTTCTAGGAGTTGTTCAGTCTTGTGGAATGTATTACTGCACTATATCTGCTTCACTGTAGAATCTCAGAAGCCTGCCAATCACGCAGCTTAAAACCCTGGGATCAAAGAATAATTCCTCAAACTAAAGGTACGAAGTGCTGTGCCTCATAATCTGAACAGATCAAACGCTAATCAAAGTGATTTTTTTTAAGTTGTAATTGAAGTCAGTATCTTAGTTCTTTTTTTATCCTGTGAATCATCATAGGAGACAATTTCCTATCATTCGGTGTGCGCTATCATGATTTATTACAAATCTACATGCATTGCCAGCCCTACATTAGAAGTATCAGTAAAGTTAATGAGATTGTTATTTTCCACTGTTTCATTTGCTTTTCACACTTTTAAAAATATTCTTTATGACTTAAACTGACATATTAGCTATTAGTCAGTTTCTGTAATTTTCCCATGTGATCATCTTGGAAGAACCAGCAAAGCTGGGGCTATTTCAGGCATGTAAAGTCCGTACTACTGCTCTAAGATGCAGACTTTTTTACTAGTACAGTCATTGCCACGTTTTTAGACACTTACTGGCTGAGTGAGTATTATCAACTTCAGCAGTAATACGAAAATCGTAATTTCCCATATATTTGTCAAGTTCTCTCTCACACATTTATTCTCATCAGTCCATTTCTTGACAGAAAGTTAGTTGAGAGAAAAAAGAATAAAAGGGGAGAGAGGAAACACCTCAAATTTTTGAATTTTCTGGGTGACTTGATCCTAATGATAGGAGATGGAGTGGAGTGGTTATTCATGGTACCAAAAGTGTGAAATACATTCCAAAAAAAAAAAAAAAAAAAAAGAAAAAGAAAAAAGAAAAGCCACCGTTAGGTATGCATTTTTTTTCAACTAATTAGTCGTGTCCATTCTTATGCTTTATCATTCCCTGACATAGTGTGGTAAAAAGGAATGGAAAACCATGATGGCCAGTTTCTCAAACACTGCAGTCAGCCATGCAGAGAGAAAAAAAAATAAAAAGGATAATTTGGATTAATTTGAAAAAACTCAAATCTAGTTTTGAAGTTGGAAAAAAAATAATTGAAGGAAAACATAGCATTTATTTTAAAAAAGGGCTATATTAAAGGACTAAATATATTTAATAGACAGTATAAGATGATTTTTCCAAATAGTTAAGTTGTACACTTTTTTTTTTTTTTTTTTTTTTTTGCTTAAACCTTTTTCCCAGATTTAATTGTAATTCTGAGTGGTTTAACAGGACTCTAAGGTATTTAGGGCTCACAAAGAGCTCATAGAGCTCTCACAATGTTCAAAATTTCCTTCTTTTGTTGTGTTTCAGGCAAAATACTAATTAGTCCAAAATAATTGACTGAAAATTTCAATGTCACATTTTGCTACAATGTATTTTTTATTGGACAGAAATGATTCATGACAGCATAAAATGATACAAAATGATAATGAACACACAAGTTCAAGGAAAATGTGCTGGTTTTAAATAAGACACCTGTTACCAATTCAAACGGAAAGCAATCAGTCTCTCTAATTGCTTTAGCTTAGAGGTACTCAAAAATAAAGCAGCCATCAGTGTGTGTTTGTTGACAATTTAAGTAGAAGAGATTTTACTCATTTGACACTCTAAAAGCGCTCAATTAATTATTAATTTATTAATTAGAACTACTGATATGGATTTCAGGTAACAAATTTTTGTGACTTTGAGAAAATGGAATACTTGGTTTTGCTGGAGCTGACTCTGGAGGGATATTGCCATTAAGTGCGTTACCAAATAATTTTTGCTTTCAAAAATACAGTCATGGATGAATGGCTAGTGAGGAAAAAAGTAATGTAATGACTGTCAAATCTTTAGACTCAGACTATTTATATTTTTAAATGGCTATTAATATTTTCACTTGTGTATACCTATAGCTTCTGTGTTTCAGTCAAGAGCTAAAACTTCAAAATACAAATAGAAATGCTAAGTTACTTCCTGAGCAGTGTTGGTCCATTGACAGGAAAGAGATTACACTTTTTATTCATAATAAATAAACTTTTGGAATGTATTTTCAGACTTTGGATGGGGTATTAGAGGAACCTGAATTCTCATTAGAACTCATCTGAATTTTTAACCATTTATTTGCTAATGAAAAAACCCTAATGTGCTTTATGAAGTTCTTTGATTTATTTAAATAATTTAGCGGACTCTAAAATATAATTTTTGAATGGTATGTCTGTATAGTACGCCTAGGCTTCATGGAAATATACTGATCTAATGGAAACTTTGAAACTTCCACTGCATGCTTTGCAGAACAACCACAGCTGGCTTGGGATCTGGGGACCCAACAGTTTTTCACTGACAGAAATAGATGAATGATCTTGCAGAAGCGATTTTACAGAAGTGTGTTAAGGGAACCACTGCAATAATGGGAAAATAGGTGTACTTGACACTGATCCATTGTACAAATCTCTCAGATTTTTATATTTGCAGCCTTGGTAGAGGAAGTAACATTATCTAGTTTTCATGTTCTAGAAACTTTTCTCACCTTGCATGCCAGCAAAATTAAAATTTAGGATCCTTAAATCACATGATAGCTTATGATGGTTGGCCAGGCACAAATCACAGAACCTTCAAGGTTGGAAGGGACCTCTAGAGATCATCTASTCCAACCTTCCTGCTCAAGTAGGGACACCTAGAGCATGGGGCCAGGGTAAAACACTTTTAAAATATTTTTTTTCTTTTTTTTTTTTCCTGAAAATATTGTGCATAAGTGAAAACCATAGTGATTACAATGATTATGATGAAAACTAAAGGAATAGTTAATACAGAAAGAATCAATGTAACATAAACATTTCATCAGACCAGTACAGGAAAAAGTATAAGGTACAAGAGACAGGCCTTGCATTTAAATGTTCTCAACAGTCCCCTTCTTGGGAAATGGTATAATGTGATATATAAGATCAAATGAAAGACATTTTCACTAGGTCTGTTTGTACACGGGTATCTACAGTTGCTAGTGAACTTCAAGCTCATGTTTCCTTATACTGGATTGTATTAAAAGATTTTAAACACAGCGTCAGTAGCTAGAGAACACAGCAGTCATTGCATTGACTTTTTAATATCAGTCAAAGTTCYAGAGTTGAATCTCAAGACTGAGAGKCAAATAGCMCTGAATCTGAGGATTCAGGGCTATTTGAGAGATCTGAGAGAACTGAAGCTAAAAGTCATTGCTTCCAAGATTTAAACTGTCAAKCTACATCTACAATGGTAAATATGGAAATAGTGACTCTAGGAATGAGAAGTTAAATATGACTGAATAAATGGTTTCTCCATACTGTATTCACTTTGCATTTAATAGGAAAAAAATTAGGTGAAAACAGAAAACTGTGAATACTGCAAAATACAGAAGTTGAAAGTATTTTTAAAGAATGTRTACATAGATTATTTTTTACTTTTATTGGTATACATTTTATTTTTAGTGTGGCATCTATGCCAAAATCACAACATGATGCAGAGCCCTTCCTGGAAATTACAGATGACTACCCAAGGAAAACAAGCATTTATGTATTTATATTTCTCATTAAGACACCCAGAAACACGAGTTAAAAGGCAGAAAAAATATGAATTATACAGGCAATTGTAAATTGGTGTTTTTCTGTGGTAGGAGATGTAGGAGTTTTCTGTTGAATGTAATATGTGAATTTTTGTTATGCACAAAGTCTTGGTGTCATTTTGGTGACAGCAAAGCTTGCATTTCTTTTTATGAATGACCAGTCATGTTTACCAGAAATCTCACCCAAGAGCTTTTTGTCTGTTTTCTGAAGATCATTTTGGAAAACCTTCCAAATGCCCCACTTGTTTCTATATTTTATTAAGGACTTTTTAGTGTACTGTGCAGATGAAAATCTGGGTCACTTGATGATAAATTAGTGATAAGAACACATCAATCTCCTGCCAGGATGAATTTAAGGAGGGAAATTTTGTTTACTATTATTTCTTAAATGATTTTAGTAGGTCCTGTCCTGTGTCTCACAACACTAAACTGTCCTAATTCCTAAACTGTCACAATTTGACGTATTTCCSATAATGGAAAAGCTGGAATGCTAACACATCAGCAATTTTATCTTTCTGACACAGAAGATGTTACCACGGTGACGCAAAAGTCTTAGTGCCATTGCAGRTCATAAACAAATCACAGAATCATAGAATCATAGAATGCCGAAGGTTGGAAGGGACCTCAGAGGTCATTGAGTCCAACCCCCCTGCTCACACAGGGTCACCTAGAGCATGTGGCACAGGGCTGCATCCAAGCGGGTTTTAAAGATCTCCAAAGAAGGAGACTCCACAGATAYAGATATTAAAACAAAATAAGAGTTGTAGTGGAAACATGTAGATATCACCAAACATTCAGCCTATGCTTGCTTATGTCTGATTTTTTTTCATATTTTCTTCAATGTTTGGCTCTCAATAAATTGCTTATTTTACCTTCTTAGCATTTAAAATTGAGATAGCCTTTTCATTTGTTCTGTCAGCTAAGTAGTACTGAAGGTGGCATGTGCAGTTGTAACAAGAAAGTCAACATATAA